CACCGCTTGTAACTGTTATCCAGACAGATTTAACTCCATTTATTACTACTCTCTGCTGTCTACTCTCCAGCCAGTTTTCTATCCAATATAATAACATTTCCCACCCACCCACAGAAGTATGGAAGTAACGTTGTTAATAGCGAGAATGTTCAACTGATGATTCAGTGCATCTAAATATTCCAAAAACTCTATATTACATATTGTATTTTACTCATTATAATTTATATCAAAACTATATTAATTAGTATAATTATATTTGAAGCTGCACAAAGATGTTTAACTTAAAACATAACTGATGTTGAATGACAATCAATACTACTAAACTTCCGTCAATAAAAATTATTTCAATTGAGTATACATTTTGTATTTAGAATTTCGTTATGTTTAAGAAGGTACCAAAATAATAATGTTGCGTCAGCGAGGTCACGTGACTCGTTCTCTTGAACCTTCGGGAATTTTTGGGAGATTACTAGATATAGGGTAGGCTGGTATATATAAGAGGGTGACAACGTGACGGGACAATATGTGTGTAGGTAGTGAGTAATTGATCTGCAGTGAGAAAGTATTGTTGAAGTAGAGCTCGTGAGACGTGAACTATAGTTTGTTTTCGCGCGACTGTTGAAGTTGAGTGTATCGTAAAGTTGTATTCGGAAAGAATAAACCAGTTTTATTAAGTAAGGACTTGTGTCGCTAAAGTTTCGTCGGAACGAAGTTACGGAAAATCAATTAACAAACGGAGACGTAACAATAATCTTTCACCTCATCGTGATTTCTTAATTTAAAAGGTCCATTCGTATTATATCTCATAAGAACTCAAAAACTGTTTTTATAAGCTTCCATTTTTCAAGAGTAGGTGTCGCGACATGTTCAGCTGCTATGGACTTATATCCACGAGATTGTATAACAAAAAATAGAACTTTTAGTTTAGCAAAAGTACGGTTATGAACATTATGTTGGTATATTATTATATATCACGGTATTATATCCTTATCTTTACTTGTCAAATATATATACATTAAATTTAAAGCTTATAGCATCAAAGTCAGTGCCTTACTGCAGCCTTCAAGTGTTGAACGACTAATGTTAAACTTAAAATTAAAGATTAAACTTAACGACTATCTTCATTCCAAGTAAATACTTCTGTAATTAAAGCCATTTTTATACTTGTGGAATTGGTAAAAAAGTTAAGAAGTGAATATAAAGTTAGTTTGTTAGTAATTGAAGGTAAAAATAGTGGTGGTCAGTTTTTGTTTAGGAGAATGTGATAACTAGTAAAAATTAAGTACTTTAAAGTTTAGTAGGGTTTCCCAAAAGTCCGTGTTGAAACATCTTAGAATTAAAACCTTCTAACTGTTAAAATTACAGCATCATAATCGTGATTTAGTAATAACAATGATATCAAATTTGCTAAAGACATTCCAAAAGAAACCAAAACTTTTAATTCTAATAATTTGTTACAAATTGTTCTAATATTACTGCAAAAAATGCTAAGTTTTTTTATCTATCCCTTCACGTGTAGTAAAGTAACTAGGGCCTAGTTAAAAGCCCCTAATTTTAAAACCAAACCTCTCACTTCTAACATATATCAAACAATTCTCACTGATGTCATTTAGTGCTTCCTAAAAACCCTTGTTTATTACTTTAATTAAACTGAGCTCTTCCTACTATTAAGGCAATGCTATACATCAAATCACTGAACCTAAAAATTTAAATAAGTTTCAATAATCTTTCTTAGACCTTGTACTCTCCTGATGTTTGAAATAATTTCTGAATGAATTATTGTTTTCTATTCTTAAAGCAGAGTAGCTCTGTGTGTTTGCTGTTTATTTCTGCCATTACTTATATCACTTACTTCAGTATTTGTGTACCAAAACTGAATCTTTTTGCTGCAAGACTTCTTTATTGATAACATCCTGATCTTTAGTGCCTTGTAAGCAAAAGTGGTGATAAATGGTAATTTTATTTTGTTTGAGAGTTGGTTATTTATAAAACTCAGACTTTTGCTGAGTGTTGTAATAAAAATACAAATTGAGTTCTCAGTCTGTTCATATGCATTTGATATTTAAAGCAATTGCAATTTTATTTACAACTATCATGTATGTGAAATTTTGGTCCCTTAACAATGATTATAAAAGGAGAAGCTAGTTGATTGGTATCTAGTTGAGATCATGTAAGTTGTGTGCTGAGACTTAAGAGATTGTCTTTTTTTTTCTAAACACAAAAGATTTAAGAGGAGACTTGTTTCAAGTGTACAAAATTGTTAAGAGGTTTGGCCAGTTTTATACTAAATGGTCTGTTTGAGTAGTAGAATGAAAAAGTTGGAAACTCAAAGTTGAATATTTAAATGGAGTAAGAGGTTTAAGCTGTGAAAGTGAAGATGTTGTTATTTTGAATTATATTGTTGGATATGAGTAAAGATATGACGAACTATGCTAAATTTCTATGCGGATGATTTGGTTGCTGCTTTAACTGGACTTAATTTGATGTTGATGTTTCTGTTGACTTTATTATCGTTGAAGAGTGATCTCAGTGGACAATATGATCCTCTGTCTCCCTTTTTTTTTGTCTTTAACTTCCAAACTTTACAAAGTGAAATGTTTTTCAGATTAATATCTAACAAAGTTTCTGTGAACAAATAAAACCAAAGTTTCAACAAAACATTATGTTGAGAAACAAAATAAAAACACAAGATTAGACAACATAATGTCCTTTGAATAAATGATGTTATCTGAATGAGGAGCATGTAAATTTTAGTTAATAAAATATATTCTGCTACAGTGACTGTATGTCTCGGAGGCCATGGTTTATGAATCTAATCAATAAGTAAATACTTTTTTACTTAAAAAGTACTCTTAGTAAGTATAATACTATTTCTTTAATGTGAAGATCACTGTTATTCAACTGACAAAAGTATTGAATACCTTTAATTCCATTCTTATGAACCTTCTATAGTTAAAACATTGCATGATGATAAAGAGATGTTGGCAATAGTTTGATTAATGTAATACTCAAGAGTCCTGTCATTTATTTTGTACCAAGTTTATTCATTAAAATTATGTACAGAATTAATTGACAGAAATGTTAGCTTTAGAATGAATTAATCTCTAGCATATTTATTTTAGTTGAGATTAAAGCTATTGCCTCCAGTGGTACAAGCAGTATGTCTGCAGACTTACAACTCTGGAAACTGGGTTTTGATACCCATGGTGGACAGAGCTCAGATAGCCCACTGTGTGGCTTTGTGCTTAACTTCATACAAACAAACAAAATTAAAGCTATTTCCAAAACATCGATACTGTGTTTAAGTTGTATCTTTCATTGCTACAGGTGTACTGTCTTTTTCAACCCGTGTCTTGAAAAGAACTTGTTGATACATCACATTACAAAAGTAGACAGTTGAAGTGAAACCTGGCACATGTATGAAGGAATTTTGATGTCTGTTTTCACCCAGTGATGCCGATGGAATGTACTTCTATTTGTTTGGACAAGCAAGCACCTGAAACATGTCTTTCACTACAAAACAATATCATTCAAGTATGTGGAGTTGGTGAAGTGGAGATTCCTCCTGACCGTGGGTTATTACGTGTTACAGTAACAAGTACCAAAAGTACTTCAGAAGAAGCTGTGAATAGTGTTGAAAGAAGATTTGAATATGTTCTACATACATTAAGAACACATGGAGCAGAGGTAATTGAACATTTTAAAAGTAATCTCCATATAACTATTTATGTTATTCTAATGGGTACTTAGTTTTTCTCTTTAATATTGCCATACAATACAAAATAATGGAAAGACAGATGTATAAAAGATAGAGCAATTATCAACTGTTTTTTAAGATATTATTTAATAGGTTCCTCTCGTATCATAAACTTGTTTTATTATATATGTTATATTGCTTTAAAATTTGGTAAGAAACATAATTCTAAAGGACGTGTCAAGGTGATATGCAAGTGTAGTATCAAAATAAACTACAAAAATTAATCTATCTTGCATTAATTTCATTCATTTTTTTACCTCAATTATAATAATACTATATTAACTACATTTTCTAAAATTTAGTGTTCATCCCTATAAGGTTGCTCAAAAACATATTGATTTCTTTTAATAAAAATGAAATGTTCACAAAAGTTTGAATCAAGGCAATATAAGTGATATGTGTGGCAACTTTATATTTGGTTCATGGTAAATTCCCAAACATATAGTATTAAAGTGCCACCACAGTAACACTTGTGGTTGGTGGAATATGCCACAGTGCTTTCAAAGAATATATACTGGTGCAATGAGATTAACCATTTTTTCTGACTAGGGTGGTGTGACTGATATCCTATCTTCTTAGAATTTCAATGTTTTTATTGATCAGTAAGTTATATTTATATATCTGGTCAATTTCAATTTGATTGATTTTTCTGTAACATTTCTATTGAAACTATTTTGCCAAATGCAGTAGTCACCACTTCTTAAAAACACAGTATAAACTTGCAAAGATTTATTAGTGATCTAATGCTGGACCTATTCAAAATGATGTCAGATCAGGGTAGGTTACAATATTTTTGCTAACAATATCCTTGGTTGTAATTAGTTTATATCCAAAAATTATAATTTGTTTTCATTAAATTATAAGTTCTATTATTTATGTGGATTGTTTGAATATGATAAAGAATAATATTCAATAAATAAGGATTTGAGTGACCAGAATATATTGCCATTGCTACTGTACTATGTAAACCCCATAGGAGAAAATTGCCAAAAGATTTTTTCAACAGGAAAATTTAACATAAAAAGAGTGTCTAAAGAAACTATAAAAATATAGGTTTGTTCCTATATCTTCTAAGTTTCATACTAAATTCTGTTGTTCTCTGACATAGCTATTTGTAATCAGTTACTCACAAAACCATAAATTACTTTTTACTTTACATTAATAAATATTTTATAATGTGCTCTATTAAACTGTATTTAAACTTTTCTTGTACAGATCACACCCTGTTTTAACTTCACAGGATATGGTTGAAAAGGCTTGTAATAAAAAGTATTCAGAAAGATGAGAGTCATGACAGAAACAAGACTAGGTTAATTGTGTTCTCAAGGGATGATAGTTTATTAGCAATTCAAAATTTATGTATTTGGATGTTCTAAAACATTTGTTTTTTTTTAAACCTTAGAGCTGTATAGAAATGCTTAAACATTTTTCTTCATAAGTTACATTAAATGTTACAAGATAATAAAATATATTTCTGAGTAAAAAATTGTTGAAATAGAGTTGGAATTATTATTTTTACTTAACTTTTGAAATTTGCCATGCAGGTTGTGATAGGGTTTAAACAATTTAGAGTCAAAGGACACAACACTACAAAGACTGGATCCTTCATTGTTCCTCATAGAAGTAAAACAACTTGTACAGTGGAATGTTTTTAACAGTATTGGATTTTAAATTTACATCCAAGCTAATCTGGAGCAAAGCCACATTTGCAAAGTGAAAACTTTGGTTCATTGTGATGAAGTTGGACATATCTACTAGTACCCTGAAGTTTACAAAAACTCATGAGCCAAAATTTTTCAAATTTCCACCCACATCTTGAAATAACAACTGCTGTGATGAAAATGATGGCTGAAGAAAATGAATTAACAGGAATTTAATTAAGCCACTTATTTGTCATGTCTCAGAATGTAGTCTCAATAGACTGTTAGTCTACTTAAACATGGTCTTGAAAGCTGACATCCATTTGTATTGGAGAGTCTATGTAATGTTTGTCAAGATGTAAAGTCTAAGATTGATCTCACCATTCTTTGTAGAAGCAAGTTACAATAAAAATTTAGATTTTGGCCAGTAGTGTGTGAACATGGCCTCAGATTGACTGCAATCAACAAGTGGAGGTAGTTCCAAAATCAGCACTGTACCTGTGTTTGTGAAGTATTCTTCTGATCAGCTGAAAGACAATATTATGGGCAATACAGGATCATTTTTCAGACATTCTTATGCCACATTCTGTGATATTGCATACTGAGCTAAGCTTTAAACTTGGTGTTCATGGATGTTCTGGAGGTATTCTATAGGATTTAGATCAGAATTTCATACCGATCAGCCTATGACCTTTATGGTTTTTTATTTGAGGTAGGCAATCACAATCCTGGCAGTATGACACTAGTCATTATCACAAGTCTTTAAGTTGGACACACTAATTTCTCCAGTATGAAGACTTCTGACTGTTTGTTCTGTTTACTGTGGTTTTTGTTCTCTAACTGCTACACACAATTTTGTGCTATTTTATGACTAGTCATTATCATTCATTAGGAGAAAGTGTAGTCTGATTATAACTGTGAAAGATCAAGAAAGCTGAGTTCAAAACATATTTAATGAAATGGTAAATTAGCCTCTTCAGAAGCATAATTAAAGCTATACATCTACTCTTACTGATGCTGTCCCAAATCATAAATGAGTTATCCCCCAAACAATCATATTCAACAGTGTTGTACTGACCATACTGTTTTCATCTTGACTTTCCAGCTGTAACAGGCTGCTCTATCGAAGGAATGAGAGGGCATCGTTTGGGGCGACAAGACACCAATTACAATAGATTTATTTAAATACCCAGGATATGCAGCCGTGAGTGGGTACACAAGTCAACCAACTCGAGAAAATTTAGAAGTAAAGCAAGGAACAAATGACACTGAGTCCCGTTCTACACAAGAGGATATATATTTTATTAACATTTATGAACATGAAGGCTTGTACTGCATGGTAGATTATAATTTCATCAACATTGATTAACATAAAGGTTTATACTTTCAGTAACATTTATTACTTCCATAATGTTTCTAACTTTAACACATTATTCACATTACTCAGTTAACTGTAATGACTTTTGCATTATACATCATGGTACCTCCTGGCAATATTATCAGTTAAGAGAAAGTAGCAATTAAAACTTACATGGAGTTAGTGTAGTGCAAGTCTTGCACGTATATGTGAACTGCCAATCTGTGTTCTTGTATATCTCAGGAACTTACCTGAAGAACTGGAGCAACCTTGAGGCCAGGACACCTTGATGTTGGGGACAACCTTGCTTTTGGTCCAGAGACATAGATTTTTAAGTGATTTTCAGCATAATCCATCCAAACTCATGGAAATAAATTATGAGATGATTGGTCCAGCGATTAGAGTGGACTCATCTTTCTTTAGTGATTGGTGTCCAGTGACCCAGGACTGGACATCAAACGACGTAAAAGGTTACATGAAAGGTTACCTGTGTATACAGTTTCTCATCGTGTCTAGTCTGTCTGGAATAAACATCTTTCTGACCAGATTACATTTGTTGATGCATTCACATCTATGAACACATTTGTTTAGACTCACACAACCATCTAGTTAGAATCACCTTATGTGAGAATCCTCTCAATTCTCACTGATATGTAAATGATGTTTAATAGAATGTGAGTTATTCTTGACAGGCATGTTCAATGTTTGCCTTTCTTTAGCATTTCACAACTAATATTTTGCAACACCTCTGCAAGTCTATAGCTTAGCTCATGTGTTTATTCTAAAGGGGCAGTTTAGCTCGTGAGAAAGCTTAGTTGAAGCATTTGTTTGTTTTCAAGTGATTCACAGCCATGAACTTGTCATTGGTAGAGATATGAAACCTTGCTCCATCTGTGAACAGTAGAAGTGCTCATGGTATTGTTATCACTTCTGGTGATTTTAGTAAAACCAAATGTATTTTCATATTATGTCTATTAGCAGTAAAGTGTTAATTCCTAATGACCATATATATGATCATTAAGTGGTGTATTTGACTTTCTAGGGCCTTGTATGTTTAATGTACAAACCAGTTTTCTTGTATATCCACCATTCCATTATGGATGTGACAAGAATAAGTTGCCATTTGTCTCTGTATTTATCTCATTCTAACACTTGAACAATTCTAACAATCTGGACATTTGTTAAAAACCACTGCCCATCATCATCAGTTTTTTTTTCGTTTTTTTTAAAAGTGTTTGTAAATATTACCAAAATTAAGACAACTTTAATAGGATTTGTATTTGTTTTTGACATTTAATTGTTATTATGTTACCTTTTCATACTAAATGTTTGGTCAAATGATTTTTAAATCTGTGTTTTCTAGTATTTTCCAGTACTGTAATAATCTATTCATAATATAATTATCTGGGTTAGGAAGAGAAGAACACTGTTACTCGTCACTTAATTCGCCAAAGTCCAGACAACTATATCATGCAGGCAGATGTGGAGGCATCTTTTAGGAGAATTGAAGATTGTCAGACTGCTGCAGTAAAATTAGTCCAGAAACTGGACTCAACTGTCCATGTGGGTAAACCAGAATTTTATCATAGTTCTCCAGCTAGAGAGGCAGCTAGGTGAGTAGACGGTGAAGCTAAGAAGCAGTGAAAAATATAGTATTGTAGAATATATTCAATTCATTTAGATGTAGGAATGTCAAACTTGCTAGCAATGAATTGGTTATTAATTCTTATTTTACATGAAAAAACTGTACATAAAAATTCACTAGTGTCATATATCATTATATGAAATATATCATGTTTACAGTCTGATAAGTATTATTTTCTTACATTCAAACTTGACAGAAAAAAATCATATTGAAAGTTGCAAGTTTGGTAAGAGAATTTTTCCTTTGTTCCAAAGGAACATGTATTTTTCAGAAATGCGTATTATTTAACACCTGATATTTTAAAAGTTAGCAAAATAATTTTTTTGGTAATAGCAACTTGAAAAGTAAGACTAAAATTAATCTTGCCAAAAATGATAGCCCACTAAGTGGATACTTTAAGAAACTGATATGTTAAACAGTATTTTAAAAGGTTTTTATATTGTAGGACATTATAAATTATGATTTTTAGTATCGTTTTAATGTGCTATATTATTTTTCATGGATAAAATTAAATATTTCTTTAATGTATACATACTAGGAAATTATAACCATCCTATGAGTGGAAGGGCTATGACTTGTAACACAGTGGTTGGAAACCCAAACTGCATACATAATAGTTTGAAGCTGGTACTGCAACCAAACAAGGTTGTTTTTTTAATTTAACTTTTGATGACAAATACACCAAATATTAATTTTCGAGTAATACCCCTTTCATTGCTGGTGCTAGTATAGTTACAATAAAGTAATTGAATACACAGAAATATACAGGATTATTATAAAGTTAGTTAGCCTATTCTACCATCATCCATAACTCAAAAACTCCTCATCAGCAAGCTATGATTTTTGGTAGGTGGGGTAATGAGATGATGGGAAAACTCTAGTATCAAAACTAATCCTCATCAGAAAACTAGTGCATTTTGCATACCAGTGACAAAACAGCATTAACATATCAGAATTTATTCTGCCAGTAGAAATGATTCCTCGCAGTTCATCTCTGAACATTAAAACTATTCACATACAGCATTGCTGCAACCATGGCAATAATTCTGGTGCATCATTAACGTAATATCAAAAATGAAAATAAACAGAGAGGACCATCCAACAGTGAGGATCAGTTTTTGATGTACCTTGGAATATGTTATAATTCCTAATCTTCAGAGAAGAAGAATTTTAAATGAAAGAGTCTTTATGTAAGATTGGGTTCCACCCTACATTACATGAACTTTCAAAACATTGCCTGGACATGCTTTCAGAGATTAAGTAATCAGCAGATATTTTACACTCAAATGATCTGGATACTCTCCATATTTTACCCTTGTATTTTGGCTGTAGGTCCATCCCACGTCTTTGCTTTCCAATAATCTACCTGCTACCTTGACAGACCTAAAAATATCATATAACACTGAGTAAAGTGCTGCTGTTGGAAGTCAGACAGTATCATTTGGATGTTTCACTTACATTCATGATTGGAAACAGTGCTGGACGTTGTAAATTTAACAATCAGTACCTTCTAATAGTAATGTTTCTGGCATTGGAGTCATCTTTTCCATAGTCTCATCAGTTCTTCAACCAAATATTTTAGCTCTCTGTTGACTAGTTTTCAAATTATGTATGTTGCAGTGTGCCAACTGACTTCAGAATAATTCTGTATTTAAATTGATACATAAACATTTTCATCTGTTAGAATGATATATATACGTACATGCACTTCATAAATTATGTTTTGAATATGCAAGGAACAGCAAAGTAAGTAAGGAAAATATGATCAGACCTTAAAATGGGGTCTACTGGTTATAGCACTCAACTTTCAATCTCCAGATTTCAGGTTCAAATCCTATACTGAACATGCTTGCCCTTTCAGCCATGGGGGTGTTATAATGTGATGTTCAACCCCAATATTCAGTTAGAGTAACCTAAGACTTCGTATTGTGTGGTTTTGACTAGCTGCCTACTCTATAGTCTATCACTTACAAATTAGGGGTGGCTGGTGCAGATAGCTCTGAAGTAGCTTTGCAGAAATTCAATAAACAAACAAAATCTTAAAAGATTGCAGATTTTCTGTTTGACAAATATTTTTATCTTAAATAAATTTGATTATGAAATTATGACCATTTTTCACATTACCCAAGATCTCCTAATTGATTACTGTTTTGTTCCAGAAAGAAAGCTTTTTCTGAAGCTGTTTGTAATGCACAAGAAAAAGTGTCTGATTTGGCTTCAGTGTTTGCAGTAAAAACTGGTGAGCCTTTGTTGATTCTTGAAGAGTATAGTGAAGTACATCCTTGTAGAGAAACTAGACAGTTAAGAGAAAGCAGTGAAACAATAATTCCACTCAGACGCTCCTTACAGGAAGAAACCTATTTCGCCAAAAGCAAAATACTTGTAAAATTTGAAATTGGTACAAAAACTTCTCAGGACTTTTGTAAGAAAGTAGAGAAAAAAAATTAGGAACATCAAGTCTTAAGTTATAATACCTCTAAAAAAATGAAATATTGAGCAGGTCCTGTTTGAGTTGATGATGAATAAAGAACATTGATTAGTGGATATGACTATTAATATTGTGTATTCATCACAATGTAGCTATCCATTTGTTTACTAATTTTTAAAATGTTTTCCAAGTTGTAAAAAAGTTTTTAGATCATAAATATTTTATTATAAACCAAATTTTCTTGAATTTATTACTCAGTACCTGACATAATCTATCGTTAGGCTAGCGTGTTTTTAAGATAATGATAATATATACATGTACAGTAACCATTAGTCACTACTTTTAAAGAAAAATATACAAATACATCCTTTCTAATAAGTTGTAGAAAAATGGAAGTTTGATTCAGTTGGCTGGTTATTTGGTGTTAAATTTCCATTTTGATTGCTCTTTCTAAAGTAAGTAGTGTTTACGTTATAGAGTTTCATATATAAATTAAATTATCAGTTGGAATATTTTCAAGTGAATTTAATAGCATTATGAGATCCACAGTGAAAGAAATAAGCTGTTTCTATTGTATATTTGTAATTTAAACCATACTTTTAACATTTTAATCATACCATCTAAACACCCGCAACATTTTTCATATAAATACACCATATAATAATTTAGGACAAAAATATGAAACCATGATAATTTAGGATATGGCTTCTAAAAATTTATAGTGGAAACTTTAATGTAATTACATTTTAAGGATGTAACTTTATGTTTTCTTATCTTGTGGGTTTTTCTCTATGTAAACTTAGTAGTGTTTACGAATTATTCGTTGGTAAAGCCCTTGTAAAAATTTCATCAACTTCCAAGATTATCTTCATAAAATTGTAAAGCAAAAATTATATCATTAGAAAAAACAGTCTATTATTTTTTTCTTTTAAAAAATATCCTTTTTAGAGTTCAAAGTTTAAGATACTTTAAATAAAATTGTTTAAAAAAATACCTGCAATTGTTCAGTTTCTAAAAATGTGGCTAGTTTGTATGAAAACTGTTGAACTATAACAACCACATGAACTACAAAAAGTCTTTCCAAATTATTTTTATTGAAAAAAAAAACTTTTTATTGTAATGCACCAAGTTTGGACATAATCACATTTGAAACTGTATAGAAAGTATAAGAAATGACTTCAAATTTGAAGCTTTGTGCTGTGAGTTATGGTTTGTGTTTTAGTGGAATGCCCCTGAAGAAGCTGTAAAATGAAATGTTGAGTGTCCAGTTAATTAGTCAAAGAAAAATATATTTGGTGTTACAAGATGATTTATTTCTAGTATTAAAATGTCTTCTATACACAAATATGAACTACAAAAATGAAATAATGAGTTGTTAAAGAGGCTGTCTCAAGCACCATTGCCATGACCATATAAATTGCACAAGCAACATAACACCAAGTTTATGTATGCTAGATTAACATAAAATTCATAATGTCTTAAACCTACCAGGGTCTAGCTACTTCAGGATATGACTGATAAAGACATGAATGCTCTCTCACTCAAAAATTAAATGATGTGCAGCTAAAGCTTATATAAACAGTAACCATGACACTTAATAAAAGCTGGTGCATGCTCTTCAATCTGAAAACTCCAAATGTATTGATATAAAGGAGTATTTGATCATCCTTCAGTTATTCCTTGTTGAGATGAAGGTTATATTCACTCTAAAGTCACTAATCTTGAGAAAGAAAGTATTTGCCTCTGATGCCATCAAGAAGCTATAACTTATTCACACCACCATATTAAGAAACACTTAGTTATATTAAGTTAATAAAGAGGGCAGTTAGATTATATTCACAATACAACTATACATATTTTGCCAAAAATACTGGAAGAGGCCTAAAATAGAAGTAATATGTATACAATGGTAAAAAAGTATTTTAACACCGACCTTATGTTTCGATTTCAAGACTGTATTCACTCCGAAGAGACTTGCTACTGAAATAGTTTCACAGTTTAATAAAGAGGGCAGTTAGACTAAATTCACAATACAACTATACATATTTTTGTGAAAAGTTTTGTATTTCATATTGAGTTAAACCAAAAATGTAATTAGAAAGTAGGAAAAAATATCTTCCTAAAAATAAGGAAAAAGTAAGGAGCTTCAAAATAGTAGTGAAAAAATGGAAAAGTAAGGTACATGAAGAGGCCTGCAGTATGGTAAAAATGTCTTTGAAAATGGGAAACTGAATTATTTATTAATTTAATCATAAGAAGTTTTAAATCTATTGGAAATTCAGAAAGATTGATAACACAGGTCTGCAATTGTTTTATTGCCTTGAAATTGTTACGTGTTCTACAGTAATTCCTGTACACTGAATCTGAAAATGATATCCATTTTTCTCCATCATGTACATATTTTTCACAAAACATCATATGTTCTTTTATATAAATGAATCATTTTCATTGCAATTGGGTCACATTTTGTTATGCTTAAAATGCTGACAACCACTAGCTATAGATTTCTCTAGACAAATCATGTCATGAGAGTCTTATCGATCATTCTAGAACCCAAACATAATAACAACAAATGTTCATTGTGGTAAACAAAATATTAATTTGATCTAAGTTATAGTTTTTTTTCCTTACATGATAGAAAAACATTAATAATATTTTCAAAACCTGTGTAGCTTAATTATGGAAAATCCATTATTAATACCAAAACAACTTTTATGAAGTTCAAATTTGCAGGCCTGTGTTATTCATCTAAGAATTGATACATATCATACAAACACTTCAATTCTTTTGTATTAATGCATTAAGTAGAGAAGAGTCAACACCATTCAACAGTGTGATGTAGTTATAGATTTTCAAAATAAACGTACTACTTTCACTGTAAGAAAATTTAAAATATTTCCCATTACAGATGACAGTAAGTAGTAGTAGATTAATCTCGCTGAATGCTATAGGGTTGGTGTAAAGACTGCAAATTCCCTTCCACACAAATGATGCATAACCACTGATAATAGGAATGGTTTATCTGAAACTTTATTTTGGCCATACTGGAGAAATTAGTTCTGGTATAAAGTTATGTAAAATATGTTTCATGTACTGAACTTTAATCCTCATTACTCTAATGTAACACAAAACATTTAAAATAGTTCTTCTTAGTGATGTCCTAGAGAAAAACAGTTAAATTGTATAGGTTTATGTGTAAGTACTTTAGTGAACAATATTATCAAATAATTTAGTTACCAAATAACTAAAATATCTATGCTACTTAATTCATGGCACTCAGATTATTTTTTTAATTCTGTCAGAAGCAAGATATTTACTTCTATCATAAACTAAAAAAAAATGTTTTAGTTTACAAGAGGTTTTAGGTAAAAGTAAAATGACAAAAAAATTACATAAAATACTAATTGTTTTAATTCTTTTTTCAAGAATATAACTACTTTTTTACGAAGAATTCTTGCTAAAATTTCTTAAATAAACTTTTCATTCTATGGGTTTCTAAGTATACATTTAAAAATAATATACTTTGGTTTTGCTTAAAATCTAAAACAACTTTTAGAGCAATATCTCAATAATTTCAAAAATAAGGTAAAATCCTACCTGAAGGCATGACTTTGTACTACATGCTCATTTAATAAAGCACACAAGCAATGATTATGAAAGTTCAGGAAATAAAAATTTCCAACCTTTTGTGAATGAAATCCACTTTTGAAGGTTTCTCTGAAAAATAAAACTATTCAAGAAATTGATAAAATTTTGTAGAAGGATTTTAACAGAGAATTCTCAATTAGCATTGGCACTACAACTGTGGAGTTGTAAATTAGTTTTGACAGGAAATATTCACTATATATTCTTGCAGGATTTTACCTTTTTTTTTTTTAAGAGGAAGAATGAAAAAGGTTAGGTTGAGATTGGACATTGAGTGTTTACCAAAATAGTGTTGGAAAGGAAAAAGACATTAAAAAAGATTACATATAAAAAATTAATAATATAATTTATGGAACGTGATTATTGTAATATTTTAAACTGAGTATGTAAAACAGAATTTACTGTTTACAATTATCAGTAACTTCCTTTTACATATTTTATCTTTAACAACCTGATGGGAAAATTGTTTGATGTAATTAGTGATGAAACAACAAGCCATCCAATTGACTACAAGAAATAAAAACCCACTAGTCAACTATAAACTCATGAATCAACTAGTCGTAAAAAAATATTTCCTGGTTCATATTAATTAAGATTTTTATCTGTCTTTGTATGTGAAAAACGAAAACAGCACTTTAATTATTCCCTCTTAAATCTCTCTGCAAGATCAACTTCTATTTAGACTCCAACTAAATAACTTACTAACATGGGTAGAATAACAATATAACAGTAAACATGATGCCTCAGTTGTTACTAATATACATGAAACAGTAGTTATTGCATATTTAATAATAAACTTATTATACTACTTGAAATTTTACTTCTTTGAACTTTTATCCTGGTAAAATGTTTTGTATGATATATTGAATATAGTGTTCATTTAATCATAGTTTAGACTACTAAGATAAAGGTAAGCAATCCAGTTGAATCTTCAATTTTAGTACTGAGTTTTGTTCAGCCAATAAAAAACGTCTCTTTATGTTGTACCAAAAAATGAATGATAGGGGCAAGCATTTTCTATTGAATCAGAACACCTTATGTAAATACTCAGTCTACCAAGCTTTACCAATATATGCAAAGTAATCAATTAAATCATATTTAAAAATTAACTAGTCTACTAATAAAAACCATTATTTGTTTCAGAGGTAGATGTAACACCTCAATAACATTTGTTAATTATTTGGTGTGTATAGTGTTAAAGACGTTTGTCTTTCAAAGTTAGTAATAATTAACAATTGTATAAGTTATTCTATTTGAAGTTTTGGTTATTCAAATTAAAAGTCTGTAATGTTTAATTATTATGTAAATCCATTTCGTATTTGTTTACTTATCCTTATGGCTGTAACTTAGTCAAAAAAAGAGAGAAAATGGCTTCAATAAATAACAGAATACACCATATGATTTGTGAAGCTGCATGAAGATGAACCAAGTACGTGGTATTACTTTAACCTAATTGTCTCTTAATGTCAAGTCACTTTCTAATGTACTTACATCAAATGTACCAGCTAATTTCCTGCGTGTTATTTTTCAGTTTTCTACATACATAACACGAAACTCATCAAAACTCGTATAGACTTCATGCATACACATGAAAAACAAATAAAAAAAAAACTTTGTTAGAGACAGGGAAATTGTTAAAGATCTGAGAAGATCCAACACTCTTCAAGCCAATAAAACCTTTAATAAAAGAAGTAAACGTTTTAGTTAATCTTTATTTTACAAAACAAAAAGTGTCCACCAAAAATCTGCTGTAATTTATGTGCTTTTCTCAGGAATACATTATGTGATTCAGTGTTAACCAATTATAAACAGATTGTACATTACCGTAATACTGCAAAATAAATTTAATTATCCAGATTCGTCAAACCTATCGATTAAGTGCATAGAAAAAGTTTAATATTACGTTAGTATTGGAATATTAAAAAATAGTTTAACTTACCAAAAATATTAAACAATATCGATATTGAACAGAAGAAACTGTAAAAGACATTTCTCAAGTTTTATTATTATTTATTAAACTCAGTAAACACTGCCTGATACTTTAATGAAGTAAGCTGCTTTTCTTCACATTCCAATTGCCCTGTCCTCATGAGTTTTCTCTGATTTGTCCACGGGGATCACGTTTTTTTAAATCACCAGCGTCACACTTAAAAGTAGGACTGATTAGTTCATCTCTCGGTTCTCACAGAGTAGAAAAAAAAGGCAGATTTAAGTGTTTACTGACAAGGCTATGAAGAAATGAAAACAATGAGTGAAAATATGTTATACAATCAATGTTTAACCAC